ATTCCTAAGAGCTATGTTGTCGAGGGCTATATGTCCCTGGTAGGGTCTCCCAAGGCAAACAGGTCCTGGGCGACGGGTCAGACTAAGAGCAGTTCAAAAGTCCTTTATGAATAGATTAAAATCAAGGACCGTGACATCGCCCGGCATGGCGCAGCCGGGGCCCCACCCTGGAGCCAGGCCCGGGGTTGGGGATCGAATGCGAGCGCCTGGTGGCCGGGCCTCCCCTCACGGGGCCCGGCCGGGCTTAGCCCGCACGAGCGACGTGGGGACGTCCTCCCGTGGGCCCACCACCTGCAGGAGGATCCGTAAGGGGCCGGTGCACAGTGGATTGGGCAGCAGTCGAAGGCAGGGGCCCCGACGACCCGATCTCTGGACACGGAGACTATATATGTATGTATAAGCTTTATTTCAGACATAAGTCCATATCAGCATAAAAACAAGGTTAAAAGAGGACAACACTAAATCACTCTTATTCTCCAATACGTTTGTTCCAGTGTTTCCAAGAAATACTTTGTGTCAGCTTTGCATTGGCTCAGTTAAAACCATTATAATTGCATTTTTTTGAATCAGCTAATCAACACATCAATTTATACATAAGATTCCGCCACACGGCATGAAACATAGGAACGTTACTAGAACACCCTATGAAATAGAAATATGCCCCAGGCTTGTTAAGGTTTTTGTGGTGGCTTATCAGAGTACCTTGGCTTGCCCTACTGGGGTTTTGTTGTCCTTTTCTCCTTGTTCTGCAGTTTGCTAAATAGATTCAATCTTAATGTACATCCATGTACCAGACATGTATCAACTCATAATATTGTGAAAAAAATTTAGGAAGTCTGGGGAAATCTCAGTGCGTAAAGGCCAAGGAAAAAAACCACTGTTGAATACACTGCATCCAGAAACCTGATACTCTCTTGAGCAAAGAGGAAGCCATAAGTCAATTCAGGCCATTGAGTTCTCTGGGCCCAAGCTCATCTCAGATGGACCAAAAGACAGTAGAAACTGGTTTTGTCGTCAGTCGAGTCCACATCTCAGCTTGTTTTTTGGGAAAAACAGATGCTGGGTTCTCCGTATCAAAGATGAAAAATCAAATTTATTTATATAGCACTTTAGGAACAACATCCAGTTGACCAAAGTACTTTACATAGCAGAATAAAATCACAATAAATGACTAAAATAGAATAAATAAGATGAGTGCAAAAAAATTAAACAGCACAATAACACAGACACACAGATGACATGCATTCAGTAAATTAAAAGGAATGTATCAGCCCCTACTGTGTATTAAAAGCCAAGGCAAATAAATATGTTTTAAGCAATGATTTAAAAGGAATGAGGTCAGTAGCTGATCTAACATTAAAAGGTAGACTATTCCACAATTTAGGGGCTGCAACAGTAAAACCACGGTCACCCCAGCATTTATATCTGGCCCTAGGAACCTCTAAAAGAAACTGGCTTGAAGATCTGAGGGACTTTGTAGGTTTGTGCCAATGCACTAATCAATGAGGTAAGATGTTGCCAAACCATTAAGAGCCTTAAAAACGAAAATCAGCAGCTTAAATTTGATTTTAAAATGGACTGGAAGCCAGTGGAGCGAAGCCAGTACTGGGGTTACTGTATATGCTCGAATTTCCTAGTACATGTCAAAAGACGAGCAGCAGCATTTTACATCATTTGGAGATGATTGAGGGAGGACTGGTTAACACCATAGTATAGAGCATTGCAGTAATCAAGTCTAGAAGTGATAAAAGCATGGATTGCAATCTCAAAATCATTAAAAGAAAGGAATGACGACCTTGCTTAACAGCCTCAGGTGGAAGAAGCTAGATTTCACAACTGAGTTGATTTGCTTGTCAAACCTCAAATCGCCATCAAACATCACCCCTAGATTTTTTACAGTTGATTTCAGATGTTGGGCTAGGGGGCCCACGCCCTGGTCAGAAGCAGTTGAGTTCGCCAGGTCACCAAATAGCACACACTCAGTCTTATTTTTGTTGAGATTTAAAAAGTTAAGTGCCAACCATGATTTCAAGTCTGTCAGTCAATGGCTGTAATGACATCCTTCTTGTTGCCTTTAACGGTAAGTAAATCTGAATGTCATCTGCATAACAATGAAAAGAAAGGCCATATTTCCTTAAGACAGATCCCAGTGGGAGCATGTACAAAGAGAACAAAATGGGACCAAGCACAGATCCTTGGGGGACACCACAGGAAAGGATAGTTGAGGAGGACGAACAGGTACCAGTATTAACAGTAAAGCTTCTATTGGTGAGATAGGATTGAAACCAGTTAAGAACAGTACCTTGAATTCCTAAGCACTGCTCCAAACGAGATAGGAGGATTTCATGATCCATTGTATCAAAGGCAGCAGTAAGATCTAAAAGCACAAATAAAACCGAATCCCTGGCGTCCCTAGAAATTTATTCTTCTTCCATTTGCGTACAGCTTGCCAACATCTTTGTCTAAGTGCTCGAGTAGAATCGTTTAGCCAGGGCACTGTTTGAATCTTGGCTGGTCTGCGTCGAAGAGGAGAAATCCAATGTGTCCTGGCAAGTGCTGGTTAATAAACTCCGTAGTTCCTCAGGATTCGTGTAAGAGGAGACATCGTCTACCAAATACAGACCATAGTTTTTAAAATGAATAGAAAACTCTC